CCGGAGGGCAAGGGAGGAGGATGCTGGTGGTATCCTAGTGTAAGCAGGGGAATGGTGTTGCTGTTGAAATGAACTTTCTTGGCTTCTCCACAACCCCAGTGAAATGGGCTACTGAGAGGGGTCCCCACCCCCACTTCCTTTACCCAGGGCCTCCCTGCCCTAGAGGGCTCCTCTTCCACTCTCCTGTGTGGCACAGTGCTCATAACCCCAAAAAGGCTGGGCCCAGACTTTCTGGGGGCCATGCTCCCCAAACTTGTTGTGATCCCCTAGGGCAGTGCCGTGGGGCCCCCCCTCTTTCCGCACTGGATGTTTCCCGGGTGCACTGATCAGTGCTGCACACACGATTCATTAAACGGCAATCCATTTGAAAGAAAGAGAAAAAGGTCGGTTACTCTTCAAGACGTGATGCTCGTGTGCGTGTGCACGGTCTCCAGGAACCATTTACCCCAGCGGTGTCATGCCCTCTGGGCGCTGGCTGGTCAGGATCCAGAACACAGCAGACTCTGCACTCCCCCATCAGCGGAGGGGCAAGCAGCCCCAAACACTGCAGATGTCAAATCGCCCCCAATGGCAGGCCCGGCGGGTTGCAGCTGGGAGCATGGTTCTGCCCAACACTCCTGATGGGAGGAGAGACACACCCCCTACTCTGGGCATTGGGCCCATTTTAAAACAGCCTTCGGAACACCTGCAGGACGGGCTGGCTAGGAACGATTCCTTTCAAAACGGGTCCACCTGGGACGTGGGGATTATTCCGGGAGCAAACTGGGGCAGGAAGGCCCTGCTCACACGGCCAGGGGCAGCCCTAAACCAAACAGCCAAGTTCATTGGGGCTGCTGCCACCAAAACGATGCCGTTCTCTGCCTAGCGTCCTTCTGTCCTGCACTAGGGCGGTGCGGTTCTCTGCTCAGCGTCCTTCTGTCCTGCACTAGGGCGGCGCCGTTCTCTGCTCCGCGTCCCTCTGTCCTGCACTAGGGCGGCGCCGTTCTCTGCTCCGCGTCCCTCTGTCCTGCACTAGGGCGGCGCCGTTCTCTGCTCCGCGTCCCTCTGTCCTGCACTAGGGCGGCGCCGTTCTCTGCTCCGCGTCCCTCTGTCCTCCACAAGGGTGGCGCCGTTCTCTGCTCCGCGTCCCTCTGTCCTGTACAAGGGCGGCGCCGGTCTCTGCGCCCCGCCTCTCTGGCCTGCACGAGGGC